GCAGGGCACTTACAGTCAAATATAACAAACGTATGAAGCAATAAGAGAAACACACAAAATGTACAGAGCGGGGGTACGCGAGGACTGGAAATGAGAACCGCTGTTCTAGATGCCAAAAATTTGAGGCTACAGCACAGCAGCTGCTCTTCTTGGTCGTCTCGTCTGATGCAGTCACTCAACCAAGCGTTCTAACCACAACCGCGCCCCTCCAACCATTCGAATTTCTGTAGGCGGGAATTATTTGTAATGAAATTCTAATGAGCCGCTTTGTGATGATATAAAGCCCGGAAAACAAACGCTGTAAAACGAGCCGTTTGCAGTAGTTCTTGAAAATGGATTTTAAAAAAACTAAATATCTCCCTTTGGAGTGGACTTTGAGATTTGTAACTTTCTAGATCTTTTTTATGCCCAAACATACACACACTACACACTGACTAAAATTAAAAAAGTGAAAAAGCATAATAGGACCCCTTTAAGAAAATCATGCCAATTGTTCACAGGCAGTTGAGATTCGAGAACCTTTAAGTGATTTTAATGTCAAACAGAGGATTTAAAAAGCCGTATCTTAATAAATTTTTTTAGTAACCATAAAGTCATTCTCTTCAAAGCCGCCTTTCAGCTCTTGAAGTGGTCCTTGTTTCGAGTGTCCTTACGTATGCTGGTTATGCATGTTTTATGAAAATAAGAACAAATGTTGTTTCCAATATGTATTTGCAGAGGTCCTTCATTAATAGATGGTCAGTGAAAATACCACATGCCATGTGATGTTTCTGTGCTAATTTGTTTTAAAAATTTTCCAGTATGTTCTTGTACTGGAAACATTCAAAGAAAGGTCCTATCACTTAGAGCATGTATTTTAAAAAAAAAGAATAAAATGGCTCTTAGTCACAATGAAATGTCACTGGTCCCGAAAAGTGAATATTTAGAACTGTTCACTGAAAGGTTTTTTGGGGAACCAAAATGGTTCTATAGCATTACTGTGAAAACCCCATTTCGGAACCCACTTTTTGAATGTA